ACAGAAAATTACAGTTGCGCTTGCAAAGTGAAAATAATGTTGACAACTATTGGAACATTAGCTTCATGTGTACTTGCATATTATTAAGAAGTTTACAAAACAAACAAACAAACAAACAAACCTGAGATGCTTGTTTCATCAGACCCTTGTTCAAACAAGCCTGTCCTTTCAAGGCAAGTGCTGCTGATTCATTGGAGCCAGAAAGCTAAAGAGATGGCAACATTCAAAGTATGACACAAGGATCAGTCAATTGCTTTTTTATATTGCCCATAACATTTCAAATCCTACGCTGGACAAGGTAAATCCTGCTAAGCTGATGAGAACAGAATGCAGTTATTTCTGAATTAATACACAGAGTAGTAGAACCTACTCTAAAAGGTGATTAGAAGATCTTCATAAACTATGTGAGCTGTAAGAAAATATCAGGAGTAAAGCCATGAGCTGTGAATCATTAGTATTACACATTTTTTTGGTAATTTGAAGGACAAAACATATAACCAGGATTCAACAGCATTGTAATCACACAAAGCCCGGTCCCCTTGCCAAGTGTGCATGGCTAAACAGAAGTTATAATAAAACAAAAAAAACTTAAACAGTTAAAATCATTTCCAAAAAGCCTAAAATGTCAACAATGCACATCTGGTTTGACCAAAAAAAAAAAAAAATTCAATTTAGTAGCAAGCAATCCCTCAGGATAAATTGATTTTCCCATACCAATAATTTTGTACACAACTTCTGGATGCAATGTATATTTAGGTTAGCAGAAAAAGAATAAGGACTTCATATCAGAAACAGTACAGGATTTACTTTGCCTCCCTAACACCATCTTACCTGTTCCAAGATATCAAAGGCTTTCTCTGCATTATTTGCATCACCGGATTTGATCATTGCTTCTGCTTGTAAATGAACCAACTTGTGTTTTTTCTGTGCATTCCCATAATGGCCACTGCTTTCCAACAGCTCCAACCCTATGGACACGAGTCACAAACAAAAACTGTAACTCAGACAAACTTCAGGTCTTAATTTACTTTCACTGAATACATGTAAAAAAAGTCTTGATATTGCACTTGTAATTTTAATGTTGGAACTTAATGAGATAATTCTCAGTGACAAACACAAGGGGTACTATTAACTTTATTTGTCCCAATGGATGTAACTAGTGCAGTCTCATGTATGCAATTAACCAGTATGTTGAACTATGGAATTCTAGGACATGGCTTGTTACTCAGTATGATCACTTCTGTATTGGACAGATCAAATACTTGCACAGAACACGTAACAGTATGGTACAGGAACATGCCCTTCGGCTCACCATGTCTGTGCTGGCCATGATGCCATTTTAAACCAATCCCATCTGCTTGCATACAGTCTTTCCTGCTCACTTAAGATTGGAGAGGGTGAAAAGATGGGAGATGGGAAATGAGAAATGATAGTTGGTTAATCCCATTCACCTTCTTCAGGCTAATACAAGTGGTAACAAAGTCTTTTTTTCTGCCCTTTTTATTATGGTTGTAGTATGGAATAAAATCATCCAAATTGTAAAAATTAACAAAAAAAAAATCTGAGTATGTTGTGAAAATTTGTTTTTGATGGTTCTTCAATGTTGTGGGTGTTGCTGGCGTTTGTTTCCCCATTCTTAATAAATCGTGAACCAAGTAGTTTTCTGGGGCCCTTCGGAGGGAAGTTAAGCATCAAACATATTATTTTAGTTCTGCAGTCACAGATAGGCCAGACCAAGTATGGATCACAGATTTCCTTCCCTGAAGGACACTAGTAAACCAGATGAGTCTTTAAGACAACTGATGATTGTACTGTTCAGTTTAATTTAGAACTTTAATTCAAGCTAAAATTAAACTAGATTTTAAGTTACAAATTACAAATGTTGAACAGAAGTATTAATTCTGTCTAATCATCAAATAATTGGTTTTTAAATCTAATTTGAATGAGCATCTTTGAGCAAGTTGAATATACCATCGACTCCGATAGGAACAACGATCACGATTCAAATATGGTGTTGATCAATTGCTTGAGGAAATTTTTCAACAAATAGAACTTTATCGTGCTTTGCATAAATGAGATAAACAACCAGAATAAAGAAACAAGAGTTCCTTGGATTACAAATTACTTTTATTTCTAATTCATTCTTTTTTAGATCTTGAAAAACAGCCCCTAGTCATAATTTGCTGACAGTTACCCTGTCAACTGGACTCAGGAATTGACTTGGGCTTAATTGCATATGCATTGCAGTTCCGGTGATGTAATAAACATTATGATTTGGATTGCCCCCTATGAAACATCTTTATGGATATTCAGCTACTACCTAGTCTCTGTTCCCATGGTGCATTTGGTCTTGGAGGAATCTGCCCTGAAGAAATTTCCCATCTTCCATTTGCACATCAGTTTTCATATACAGGTATTTCTCCAATAATGTGATAGTTGCATTCTTGTGTGACCTTGCGCTGCAGAAAATCATACTATAGGAAATCACCATACAAAATCTCTTTGTAGGGAAATTACTATAGAAAAATTGCTACACTTGTACTGCAGAAAGTTCGCATTATCCTACAATGTCCACTATTCGTCAATTGCTGAAGTTGTTGGTCGGTTCGCCGAGCTGACTGGTTTTCATGCAAACATTTCGTCCCCCTTCTAAGTGACATCTTCAGTGCCATTTGCCTCTGTTGAAGCACTGTTGTTCTGTTCCATTCTGAATTTATACGGGCCAGTCTGTCACGGTGGGTAGTTCTGTTTCCAGTTTTGCTCTGTAGTGCTGTGTAGGTGGAGTCTATTTCAACATGCTTGTTAATGGCATCAGTAGTTGAAAACCAGTCTTCCAGGAATTCTGACGTTTCGGGCCTAGACCCTTCATCAGAAAAGGGGGAGGGGAAGGGGGTTTTGAAATAAATAGGGAGAGAGTGGGAGGCGGATAGAAGAGGGATAGAGGAGAGGATAGGTGGAGAGGAAACAAACAGGTCGAAGAGGCGGGGATGGAGCCAGTAAAGGTGAGTGTAGGTAGGGAGTTAGGAAGGGGATAGGTCAGTCCAGGGAGGACGGACAGGTCAAGGGGGCGGGATGAGGTTGGTCGGTAGGAGATGGAGGTGCGGCTTG